AGCATATATACATGTAACTATTTTAAATTATTAATAAAGATATAAGCAAGGCCTCACCTTAATACCAAAAAAAAAAATATCACATACTATACTGGAACCAACACTTTATAAAGTACCCTACAAGAACATTTATCAAAAATATTTACAAAACCTATATTTTGGCAATATGGTCATCTCAAAAATGAAATCAAGAATGAAACCAACTTATTTCTGAAATAGATTGGAGGTTCACTTGGCTATACTTTAACTATAATCAAAAACCAAAACATAATATAACCAACTTTAAACTTAATTATTCCAAATTTTTTAAAATCAAAATTCTACTAAATGAATTACATATACACTTCTTATGTTATAAAATATATTCACATATTCCTATAATACAAACTGCTTCTATTGCAATTTACCTGACTCCTTAACACATTGGTAGACATGTTTTAATCCAACACTACTTACTAGTATTATTTGAGATACTATCTTCAAACATATTAGTCAAAGCAACCTGGACCTCTCTAAACTTTAGCAAGAAAATCTTATTTAAAAAATTCAAAATTATGAAACCTTTTACTAGATATCATTCAATGATAATTTATTTTATCTCGATATCATTCTTAAAAAACTTATACCCAAATCCCTAATTCAAACAATTCAAAACCTTAACATTCTTTACAAATTAGCATCACAAACAATTATTAAAATATTACCTAAAATTAACGAGTTATGTTATGAACTATTCTGGAAACCATATTGTATAAATTTTGCAAATTGAAAAAAACAACAAGGTTTTAAACCTCCCTTTTCCAAATATCTATTTCAAACTAATCATAATAGACAAACTAAATACAACCACCAAACATATACATACTTATGAATATGTAAACTACCTGATCAAGTACATTCAAACTCCAATACATGCCTATTCCTAGGTTATGTTATCAGAAAAATCAATATATAGACTATTCTCTGAATCAAATACAATATTTCATTTAATCATATTTTAACTATTCAAATCTAGATGAGCTTGACCATTCTAGTAGGTTTAGATCACAGATAAATTTGTTGAGCTTTACTCTTGTATATAGTTTTCTTTTTTCTATACTTAAGTTAGTTATATATAGTTAGCAGTTTAATGGTTAACTCTAACAGCAAGTGTTGGCCTCGATCATAGCATTTATATAGAATTATTTTTGTACATAGTAACTCCATGAAGTTACTAACTTTAAAAACTACCAATAAAGATATGAGCAAGACCTTACCTTAATACCAAAAACAAAAAGATAAGTGTAAATTCACATTTGTAAGGAATTTGTATTATAAATAAATCTAAAATGACCCTTAGGAGCAGTATGCTTCATTTGCTTTATTAAATAACAAGTCCCAATACATTATATTGTACATAATAAACACTAACACTATTACTGTTACAAACCCTGTAAACCCCCATAATCACTGTTGTTAATTCGAGTTCTTTATCACGTGACTTACCCTACTTGTCTTCGTTGACCCAACGTAACCGAAGCCTTAATCACTCACCAGCCAAATCTAACACCCTCTTTCGTAAAGGCTATCTATCGTACGTTACACGAGATTCTTGATTGTGGAGAGACCGAGTCGCAGTTTTACGAACTTGAAAATAGATAAAGAAGCCCCATAGGCAAATTAGGAAAAATCAAGTTGCATATAGACGAAAAAGCCCCATACGCAATTTCTAATAACTATAGAATAGTGCATAAGCTCGTATATATAATAATAATAAATAAGCAAAAAAACAATAACTTGCATTTGTTATATTTTATCAAATCCATTTTTAATCCGATTTCATTATCCTTATGATCCACGACATTTGTATTTTTTTTATATAAGCTACATGCTGTGCTTAATAATCACACGAAAATATTTTGATTCACTAATATGACTCAGTTCTTTCCAGGATTTGATCTTCGTTAAGTTTGACTTTGTCTAGAATTTCACCTTTATAGGGGTCTCGCCGTTTTCGCCATTTGCCAACAATGGTTTCGCCTAAAAACAATAGTCCCATCAAAGTTGTCCATGGATTAGAAATTAAAATAAGACATCATCAAGTTTAATTTTACTTGAGTCTGAAATTAAACATACTTTTAGAGAAAAGTTGCACTTGATTGTATAATTTTACTGCTAAAATTAGGGTGCCAATACAGGATTAAATATAATAGTCTAACTTTTTATTAAATAAGATTTTTGGGGCTTTAAACATATTTACTTAAGACACCAAGCATTACTTATTTAGCATTTAAGATATAGACCTATAGATTTAACATTTATAATAGTGTTGTTTTTTTATTTTTGTTTATTTATTTTTTTTTTTTTGTTGGAACGTCCAAAAATGTCCAAATTCATGTCATGACTATACATGCTGGGCTGGACAAATCCCAAATCCTAAAAAAATAAATAGCATTTATAAAAAAATTGAACCAAAAAATAAATCTTTAAATTTCGCAGATATATTATATATGACCATAAGAATATATATATACTGTTTATTTAAATGAAGATTAATAATAAAATTTTTAAGATATTAATTTGGCCAGAGTTTGGGATTTGGGCGCGGACAAACTCAAACTATAGTGATAGTAGTTTGGGATTTGGCAACACTGTGGCTTTGATGTTATCCTTACGTACATACTACTTTAAAGGGAGAATTTAAATCAATCGGCCTCTTGTAAAATTTGATTGCAAGCAACTATATAGAAATTTCAAATTTAATCAAGATGTCAAATGGTAATCAAGAAAAGAAAGGCGGTGAGAAATCAAATGATACTGTTACTATCGCTACGACTAAACTAGTATTAAGATGAAGACAAAAGCTCAGATGGCTCTAATGATTTTGAGACATCAATATAAACGAGCTATTGAACTTAAGAAAAGAGTCTGGAAAATAGACTTTTATACAGCCTGTTTATGTATTATAGGTATAATTGTTGGGGTTGTTCTTTTAGTTTTAAAAGAAAGTCTTACGGATTTAAATTCAATTATAAGCATTACCGTGTCTTCTGCTAGTTCTCTCGTTTCTGGAAGTGTGCAATTGCGGCTTTAAAATCATTTCTTAGCGCCACTTCCAGTTCAGATTCAGATTTTGATCTTGAGAAAGAGATTAAAGGTCCTGATTTCGATAATCTTGCAGAACCTGCTGCTCTAATTGTGGAATCCGAATTAATGTAAGAAGTGTATGATAATATTACTGAATTAAGATCAAAGAATAACGAAACAACAAAATTGGAAGCGGCTCAATCTCTTTATGCGTTCCTTGGTTGTATTGCTCTTTTAGGTATTGCGGGATATGATTTTTTTAATTTTGTTACTGGACGATCTAATGGAATTTATGTGGATATTGCCCTTATTATTCTTGGTGTCATTGGTCTTTTATACTGTTTGTTTGTCGGTCTCACAATACAATTTGCAAAAGAAAATTTGAAATGGCTTTTTTATTGTCTTTTCCCTTTTGTTTGTGGCGTTTGTATTACAGACGAGCATTGGAACTAAAGAGGTTTCGTTTTTCACGTATAGAAGAAGAAAAAATTTTATATCATCTTAAAGGTTTAAAGTATGATCCTGAAATTAATAAAAGTCACAATAAAAAGGATAATAAAGAGAATAATAATACTGTCAGTCAAGAATAATAATACCTTCAGGGAGCAATTTTGTTTGCACAAGTACAAGACCTAGAGATTTTTTGGTTCGGAAACTTTTTCCATTCCAATTGCGCTATAGAATGAAAATTACTACGCAAAATATTTTTAAGCGCGTATTGCATTACAAGAATAAAATTTTTAGAAACATTATCTTTCGAAATGCTATAGCACCGTAAAAATGTTTAATTATTATTTCCAATTTCACAAAATGTTTTTAACTTTTTGAATTAAAGATAAGTAGTCAAATGTAAACATAAGAATTTTAAACATGTTAGCGCATAAATGAATTACCTCTTTCATAAATTCATCATTATATTCTTTTGAATAATGAAGTAATTTAAGTGCAACATGGTGGACAGTGATTCTGCCGTTCTCTTTACACAAAGCATGATATACTGTAGCAGATTCACCTTTTTCTATAAATTGAATATTTTCAAATTCATTATAAGAAATCCAAGATAACGAATATTTACTATCAACCAATGTTTCTTTAAATTTTAATCAATGTCTAAATTATCAAATATTCGCTTATTTGTTGCTAACGAAAGTTAATTATGTTAGTTTTATTCGGATTTTTTTTGACAAATAAATATAATCAATAATAATTAATAACCTATTACTTGTTTCCGTTCCCTAATAAATTATTTTAATGTAATTTTATTATGGCAACATAAAAATAACTTACATCTGGTACCATTCATTAGCTTTTTGTAAGTCTCTTGTTACTTCGATAATAAAGTCCAACATAAAGCTTTCCAAGGTCATATACCATTTCAGTAAATTTTTTAATATAAATGAATGCTCTATGTTCATCCTTTTCTATTTAAACTCCAAATCGATAACAACATCCAACATTATATGTTCCTATAGCGTGACCTATCTCTGCAGATTTTTGATAGTAAATGAATGCCTTATTTCATCATTTTTGACTCCCTCTAAACCTAACCTACTTATAATATCCTAATGGCAAAATGTTTTTTCTTAGTTTTGCAATAAGATCACATGATATGCGAAATTTTTTTTCTGGTGCTACTAGTCTTGTAGCCCATATACCGACAACTTGCAACCAATAAGAATGCAAAAAAATTTTCTTTAACGATTATAACGGAATCCAGCCCAACACTGTTATTAATTCCGTTAGATATAACGGAATTTTTTGATCAGCCCAGATTTCTGTTATATCCATAGTTGACAGTACATAGAATTAATTTAAATATTAAAGCTAGATTTGGATTTTAAAGTTTAAATTGGGGTTTGGGAAGGTTTTTAGCATGCTAAACAGTTTTACTTAGTACATCGAACGGTAAAGTAATCAAATTATTTTTATATAGACACAAATAAAGTTTATATAAATTTTATATTTACATAAATTAATAAATAAAATAATATATAAATATTAATTAAATTATATATAAAAAATCCAACCATATAAATCTATATAAAAATTGTATACTGTTAGAGGAGAAATCTATTCGTCACACCACTAGAGATATCATTTCTTTGTTATGTAGATTTCTTTTAACACCAATTCCATTTTGACAGCAATAACCGATCTTGTATTACTGTTTTCAATTATTTATACTATTTTGGAAATTGAATGTGGCTTAGCGGTTTAGGTACATGAAAATCAAGTGCATCACGTACACACCAAAAAATTCATGTGTACGTGATTACACCGGAGGCATGTCATCAAATCTTTCGGTGTCTACGTTAAATTGTCGGGTATACACCCAAAGTATCACGTAAACGTTTGAATTTGGGTGTGAACGCTAAATTTCGGTGTTTACATGGGTGGGAAATTAAAATGTATTTAAAGACTAAAAGTTCAATAAAGAAGGATTATCTTTCGTTCTTCATCTAAGTAAATAAAAAGTAAATGCTTATCTGAAACTTCCCTTGTGAATTATCTCTTGAATTCGACTTGTAACTTTAATAAACCTTTCGAGACTCAATTCGACGGACTGAGACTCGAATGATCGTACAGTTCATAGTCCTAATAGGAATATATAAACAACTGATAGCGGAATTAAATATTGTCATTCACGGTACCTGTAGAAGTGGCCGTAAAGAGAATATCTTCGTTGATTAGTCACGTGATCATAATATATCATCAAATCCTCATCACGGTCTCCAAGATCATCACCCTTTACAGCATCACCAATAGTCGCATCGCCTCTTGATCGATATCAAGCACCCGTCCCACTAAATCATATTCAACGAATCGGTCTCCAACTAATATAAAGGACCTGTATTGTCTACGAACATTACTTCTATCTTCCTGTATACCGTTGAAGTTAAATTGGTCTTTTATCTATACTAGTTAACTTGCTCTCCCATTCAACGGTTACAATACAACACATATAACATTTTATATATCATTTATAGAGCTACATGAAATTTATAAAAAATGTACTTGCTTATATAGTCATATAAAGTTGGACATACTAAAAATACTAAAACATTAGATCACAACTATAAGTTGAATTTATTATTATATTAAGCAACACTTTTTATAGAAAACACTAAAACGCTAAACTATAAAGTATGTCACTTTTTGTATCTATGGTAAACCACATACTTGCATCACCATGGATATCTACATACAATTCTTCTAAATTTTCATGTATTATTTTAGAATTATTAAATTCTGATAGAATTTTCTCATCATTTGCCATTCGCTTATAATCTCACGGAGTTCTTTAGCTCTAGTTCTACATAACACTGTGGTGCTTCTTTGTTAACAGACGGTCGTAACATATTTTATTTGAAGTTCGGGTTTGCTTGAATTAGGATTGGGATTGGCTTATAGTAAGCCGGCTTAGCCACGGCTTTTGAGCTGAGCCGACGTGAGCCAGCTCGGCTTGGATTATACAATACAGCATATTATACTACAGTACAACAGCATACTGTAACTAATTTTTGTGGTTCATTCGGTGACGTTACAAAATCAGTTTGGTTAATATAAATAAATTCGAATAGAAAAAATTTATTATAATAACAATTTTTAATATATTGATCCCAATAGCTATTGTCAAATGAGTATCTGGTTTAATGATGCCTGACGAATGACGTAACTTTTCGTCACTAACGAATAACGAAACAGTTTCATCAGGCAACTTCGAATTGACAAATGGAACTCATGATGAAACTGGTGACTATCTAATAAGATAGCTGCGCGACGTTGTCACGCAAAGCCAGCCATTTAGTAAAGTTATAGGCTGTCAGCACTATTGAACATGTGATGTATGGTGACGCAGGTCCCCAAAGGACAAATAAAATTTTAGGATTATAAACAGTATAGCGTGACATTATCAGAAAGATTCAAAGCAAACGTTCGTTTGTCAAAAATTTACTCAATAGAAAATTTTTCCTAAAGATTGACCATCTTGTCAAATACGAATGTTAGTTTTATATAGCAATGAATTTTGCATTACTTGATTGTGTGCCAGGTTCGTGGTACAGCAAAAATTCTTTAAAGCTTGTTTATGTTAGGGTTAGGGTCAGGATTAGGAATTAGAAAAGAGTAGTTTATATAGTAAAATTGCCCACCGAAAACTTTTTTTAGAGAATTAAAGGTAGAGATGGGCACGCGCGGGATTTTTAATATGATCCCGAAATAAGATTATTCAGCTGGCATTACCATAATATCTGACTAGCATTAATATAATATCTGACCTGCATTTACATATTTAGCTAATTCCTAATTAAAATTTATTTATTTATTTGCATAGGGCATTTACAAGTATTATGTAATTACCTCCTCCTCTGGAAATTTTCATTAGACTGACATAGTATTAACCTAGAGTCAGTCATTTGATTTTAGCTAAAGTCACATGGCTGTGCTTTAAGGTCAGCCATGTGACTTTAGCAAACAAATCAGATGACTGACTCTAAGTTAATACTAGGTCAGTCTAATGAAAATTTCCAGAGGGGGAGGTAATTACATAATACTTGTAAATGCCCATACCATTTCACACATATGTTTATTTATATACAGTATACGATAAGAATTTACCTTCTTTGCCGTTGGTATCTTTCGCTTACATTACAAAAATATTCTTTATCATTAAGTCGCTCTTTTAAAAATAAATAACATGCGTAGTAATAATAATATTTGGAATCATCTTACAAAATTTGGATCAGATGAAACCTTTAACCAAGGACGTGCTTAATTTAATTTCTGCTATTAAACCTTGCAAAAAATACGTGGAAATTCACTATTTTAATTGACCAACAGCAACGACTAAAAATTTAGGCAAAATTACTCGAATTTTTAGTAAAGAAATCGTGGCCCCCATTAAGTGAAATTAGGGTTTAATATTTTGTGGTTTAATGAATCCCGCACGGGATTTTTGGAGAAAACGCGATTTGCCCATCTGAAATTGCATGAAATTCATGTTACTAAAACTTATGTGAAATTATATGTATTGTAAATTTGTAAAATGTAATTTTCAACCCTAAGTGAAATATGTTCCTGGGTTAATTTTACCATTACACAGACCCAAACCTTAAACAATTAAAAAATTAAACTCCGGCCAAAATTATGTATAATGCGGCCAAAATTTTGTCGATCACAGCCGTTGGAAAATCAAAACTGAGGTTCAACCGCGCGGCACCTAGATTTAATGAATCCCGCGCGTGACGCGCGGGATTTTTAGAAAAACCGCGTTTGCCCATCTCTAATTAAAGTAATTACTTATGTTGTTTTGGAGAAATAAGTATTTTTTGACAAAATGAAGGTTTGTTTTGAATTTTCTTGATAGTATTAAGTTTCAACTAATGTTGGGAACTCAGAAAATCTGTGCCATAAGTCTGACAGACATTCAAGACGTGCAAGAATTTGTTAATGTCAAACCTGGCACACATCTCATGCTGCAAATATATGCACTACGGTTATTGTATTGCAGATTTAAAATATCATTTTGTTTCTTATAGGTTACCCAGCACGCTATCTTAGAGAAATTTGCATGTCACCTGTTATCCCCGTTCGTTCATTATTATATTGCTTTTTTATTTGTCCGGAGCGAACGGAGGACACTAAATTATTTGGCATTTGGCTCAAAAAAGGTACCTTTTCGGTGCACCAACATAAAAATTATGAAATTCACATCAGAAACGCAATTTAAAATTTTTTGTATGTCCGCACGCGTGTCTATATGCTTATTTCGCGTTTGTGTAGCATGCTGATCATCATTCGCTACGCATTACCTAGTTATATAGATAGCTGTTTGTGCAAATGTATCTTTTTATAAAATATGATTGGTCAATGCTTTGAAATGGTAACGTTGCAAATTCAAGTATAGTTACGATATACAGTATTCGAGAATTTATTGTATTTTATCAATATTGCTAACTTTATTTAAATTCTGGTCATGATTTTCAAGAACTCAAATTGCAATACTCTAAATTACGATTACAAAAACGACTACAGTGTGAATCAACAATTGGAATCATTTGAATGCGTGAGAATTATTTAGTAATATTCGTACTGTAATACACATGCTCATATAAATTAGGAAAAATCAAGTTGAAAAAGCCCCATGCATAATCACATAACTATAGAATAGTGCAATAAGTCGTATCTATAAAAACAAGACATAACTTGCATTTTGTTATATTTTATCAAATCCATTTTTAATCCAATTTCATTATGATCCGCGACATTTGTACTTTTTTTTATATAAGCCACATACTGTGCTTAATAGCCACGCAAAAATATTTTGATTCACTAGTCCTTTACAAAACCTTAGAGTATTTCATCTTTGCTAAGTTTGGCCTTGTCTATGATATCACCTTTATAGAGTCTTTCGCCATGGTTTCGCCTAACAACAATAGTCCCACCAAAGTTGTCCAAGGAATAGAAATTAAAATAGGGCATCATTAATTTTAATTTTACTTGGGTCTGAAGCTAAAGTTGCTTTTGAGAAAAGTTGCCCTTAGAAAGATTGCCTTGATTGTATAATTTTACTGCTAAAATTTAGGGAGCCGTTATAAGCCAATACAGGATTAAATATTATAGTCTAAACTTTTATTAAATAAGATTTTTGGGCCTTTGAATATTTTATTTAAGACACCAAGCATTAATTATTTAGACATCAAGCATTAATTATTTAGACACCAAGCATTAATTATTAAGCATTTGAGGTATAGACCTATAGATTTAACATTTGTAATAGTGTTGTTTTTTTTATTTTTGATTAATTAAATTTTTTTTTTTTGTTGTCGGAACGTCCAAAAATGTCCAAATTCATGTCATGACAACATTGTGGCGTTGATGTTATCCTTACCTACATATATATGTACGTACATACTACTTTAAAGTGAGAATTTAAATTTCAAAATTTTCAAATTTTGAATCAATCGGCCTCTTGAAAATTTGATTGCAAGCAAAACTAGCCAACTCTATAGGAATTTCAAAAAAACATCATGTCAAATGGTAATCAAGAAATGGAAGGCGGTGAGAAATCGAATGGTACTGCTACTATCACTACGACTGAAACTGATGATATGGAGAAAAAAGCTCAGATGGCTCTAATGATTTTGAGATACTTATATAAACGAGCTATTGAACTTAGGGAAAGAGTTTGGAAATTAGACTTCTATACAGCCTGTTTATGTATTATAGGTATAATTGTTGGGGTTGTTCTTTTAGTTTTAAAAGAACATCTTACGGATTTAAATTCAATTATAAGCATTATCGTGTCTTCTACTAGTTCTCTCGTTTCCGGAAGTGGTGCGATTGCGGCTTTTAAATCATTTCTTAACTCCACTTCCACTTCAGATTCTGATCTTGAGAAAGATATTAAAGGTCCTGATTTCGATAATCTTGCAGAACCTGCTGCTCTAATTGTGAAGTCCGGATTAATGAAAGAAGTATATGACAATATTATAGAAATAAGAGAAAAGAATAATGGAACAGCAAAAATGGAAGCGGCTCAATCTCTTTATTTGTTTTTTGGTTGTATTGCTCTTTTTGGTATCGCGGGATATGATTTTTTTAATTTTGTTACTGGACAATCTAATGGAATTTATGCGGATATTGCCCTTATTATGCTTGGTGTCATTGGTCTTTTATACTGTCTATTTGTCGGTCTCGCGCTGCAATATGCAAGAGAAAACTTGAAATGGTTATTTTGTTTTCTTTACCCTTTTGTTTGTGGCGTTTGTCTTATAGACGAACATCGGGTTCTAAAGAGAATTCGTTTGACACGTATAGAAGAAGAAAAAATTTTATATCATCTTAATGGTTTAAAGTATGATACTGAAATTAATAAAAAGTATAATAATACTGTCAGTCAAAAACAATAATATCGTCAGGGAGAAAACTTTTTTCGCTATTTTCATAGTTCTGTTGCACAAGATCTGGAGATTTTTGGGTTCGAAAACTTTTTCCATTCCAAATGTGCTATAGAATGAAGATTACTACGCAAAGAATTTTTAGGCGCGTATTGCTTTCGAATACTATAGTACCGTAAAAATGTTTGATTTTTATTTCCAATTTCACAAAATTTTTTTAATTTTTTGAATTAAAGATAAGTAGTTAAATGTAAAAATTAGAACTTTAAACATGTTAGCGCATAAATGAATTACCTCTTTCATAAATTCATCATTATTTTTCTTTTGAATCATGGAGTAATTTAAGTGCAACATGGTGGACAGTGATTCCGCCGTTCTTTTTACATAAAGCATGATATACTGTAGCAGATCCACCTTTTTCTATAAATTGAATATTTTCAAATTCCTCATAAGAAATCCAAGATAACGAATATTTACTATCAACCAATATTTCTTTAAATTTTAATCAATATCTAAATTATCAAATATTCGCTTATTTGTTGCTAACGAAAGTTAATTACGGTTAGTTATGTTGATAAATAAATAATAATTGTCAGATTTTGGCTGAAGTTGATTTCACGTGATGATCGGTCGGAACTAGAGATGGGCACGCGCGGGATTTTTAATATGATCCCATAATAAGATTATCTGGCCGGCATTACCATAGCATCTGGCTAGCATTAATATAATATTTTACCTGCATTAACATATTTAGCTAATTCCTAATTAAAATTTTATTTATTTGCATACCATTTC